TGGGGGAAGGGGTATTCAGAATCCAAGCTGTCTTGGGGTGGGGAGAGGAGAAATGGAGAGAGAATTTGGAACTCAAAATCTTGTGGAAATAAATGTTGAATACTAAAAATTAATTAATTAATTTTAAAAATGCCCCTGCCCTATGCATTATTTCCAGCCCAAAAATTCTATGAATGAGAGCTCTGTGTACTAAATTGGTTACAGATTAGACAGATTTAATAATTCAATTCAATAAACATTTGTTGTTATTGAATCGTGTCTGACTCTTTGTGGCACTATTTGGAGTTTTCTTGGCAAAGACACTGGAGTATTTTGTCATTTCCTTCTCCAGCTCATTTTACAGATGAGGAAACTAAAGCAAATAGAGTTAAGTGACTTGTCCAGGATCACACAGCTATTAAGTGTCTGAAACCAGATTGGAACTCAGGTCTTCCTGACTCCAGGCCTGGCACTCTATCCACTGAACCACCTAAATGCCCAGCTCAATAAACATTATTAAGCCTCTATTATGTGACAGGTACCATGCTAAACCTAGGGATACAAAAAGAGGCAAAAGATAATTCTCACCCTCAAAGAACTTAGAGATAACAGAAATTAGAGAGAGATGACTAAAGAGAGATTAGAGACGGCAGAGACAGAGAGAGACAGACACAAAGATCTCTCTGAGAGACAGAAAGAGAGTGTAGGTCAGCAAAATAGTCATTGCTCTTAAAGAGTTTACATTCTTTAATGAGGAGGAAACAATACATAAAGGGGATCTGGGAGCGGTGAGAATTATGTTTGTAAATTTCTTAAGCCAATAAGAAGTCCAGTTTTTCACGAGCATCTATAGGTTGGAAATTTTTTTTTAAAAAATTCTCCCCATCTGTTAGAGTAAAAGCTGAATTCATTATAATAAGAAAACTAAACAAGTAGAGAATTTTTCAAGTATAGTAGAAGCAATAATTTACTTAACAATGGCTACAGCACATTCTTATCTCTTTGTCAAGCAGACCTTAGAGGGCAGGGGTTCTTAACCTTTTTATATGTCACTGATTCCTCTGATAATCAATCTGTTTAACTGCTTCTATGGGCCACTACTCAGAATAAGGTTTTTAAATATTTAAAGGAAATGCTATATTTTAGTCAGAGGGTGTTGAAATAATAATAAATAAACATGTATTTTCTCCCCATCCAAGTTCTCAGATTCCCTCAAAATTTATACCCAAATCCCTCTCCATGGACTTCAAGTTAAGAACTCTATCAAGAAGTATCTACTAGGTGACACTCTTAGACTGGCTCAAGTTTTGGTAAACACTAAAAAAGAATAAAGCAGAATTTCTTTATGTAATATCTGAAACTTCAGTTCCAGCTCTGCAGCTTAATTGTGTGATCTTGGAAAAGTTGTTAACCGTTCTCTACCTCAGTTGCCACACCTGAAAAAGAGGTATTCGGCAATGCTTCAATAGATTTGTGACTCCATCAATTTGGTTATTCCCTCCATTGGTGTGTTGATAACAAGGCATCTGACTTCTCAATTATTGTCCATATTCTCCCACAGATGCCCCAGGCGCTGCCTGACCTATTAGAGGGCTTGATCTTTCTTATACTTCATAATCAGTTCATCACTCACCCAAGCTATTCATCTATAACCTCTCCTTTGTCTTACTACATCACTAACTCACCTCCCTTTTCATTCATGCATTTTCTTCATTATATCCCCTGTACCACTTTTTTATGTGTAGGTCAGCTTTGGAAACATTCTGCAGCTTACTTATGCCTACTGCCATCCACTGGGTAATTCACAACTTTGATTCTCTGAAAAATAAAGTGTTCCAAGATACAGCATCATGGAGAGAATATTTGTGCATACGGGTGCATGCCCGCGCGTGCATGCGCGCACACACACACACACACACAGGAACATCTTAGGATCATTAAAAGCATTCTGTAATTTGCTAAATGTAATTCACTTGGCAGTCTTCCTCCTATTAAATTCTGGGATCTACTCATTGTCCATTTGTAGTGCCTAACAAATGCAGGCAAGTCACCTAAATTCTTTCAGCCTGTTTTCCACATATGTAAATTGGGACTAGCAGCTATCTTGCAGGGTTGAAGGACAAAAGATTGTGTGGGGTGTGTGTGTGTGTGTGTGTGTGTGTGTGTGTGTGTGTGTGTGTGCGAGAGAGAGAGAGAGAGAGAGAGAGAGAGAGAAGGAAGGAGGGAAAACATTAACACAAATGAGTTTACCTTATTAGCTAACTATCAACCTGCAAGTTTTAAGGAATAAGGCAGACAATAATAATCCACTTCAATAGATCCATAATCTCATCAATATGAGTATAGCATTCCCTTCAACCCATCCATCACTTCCCAACCAATACCATTATGGTCCATATTTTCCCATATATCCTTGAACTAACGTATGAGAAACCTTCCTTCAGGTCTTTTCATACTTCATGGGTATGAATGCAACACTTGGCTGGGTTTGCTATGGACTGGGGAAGGACAGACAGAAGGGAGCTTAACTTTTAATGGGATGGATAAGTAATGGTGCACTGGATAGAGTGCCAGGCCTGGAATCAGATACTTACTTGCTGCATGACTCTGGGCAAGTCATTTAACCCTGTTTGCCTCAGTTTCCTCATCTATAAAATGAGCTGGAGAAGGAAATGGCAAACCACTCTAGTATTTTTGTCAAGAAAACCCCAAAATGGTGTCATGAAGAGTCAGACACAATAGAAATGACTGAAAAACTAAAAAGCCTTGAACTGGGATTAGATAGATACTCTGCAAGGTTTGACATAAAAGAAGTGGGATCTATGATGATGGGATGTTTCTTATCCAAGAGATACAATCATAAGCTCTGTTATCTTCAGTGCTGAAAAGGAAGATCAATTCTGGTTTCACCCTCTAAGACTAAGAGTTGGTAATCTGACCATTCAAACATATGATCACAGTAGAAATCTAGGAGTCACCTGAAAGCAAACACTTTGCCTATTAACTCTAAGACAGATGCAAAACCCAGTGCTTGTCTGATGTGGACATGACTTCTGTCTCAGGTCAGGCGACATATAGAGACTGTCATGTTGCTTTTCATCTCAACAAAAAAGGCTGACCACATACAGTCAAAATCTCATTGGCAATATTTTTATTATTTCATAATATCTCCCATTAGTCAGACCTAATCAACTTAAAAGGGCTCAAGAAGAGTAATCAAGTAATTTCAACACATCCTCTGAATAAGCAAGAACATTTCTGTATGGGATGCAAACTTGACTAGATGATTTCACATGATAGACGTTTTGCAATAGAAAAAGCACTGGCTCTGGATTCAGAGATCCTGGGTTCAAATCCTAACTGATATTACTTGTGTGACCTTGAACAAGTCACTTAACTTCTCTGGGCCTCAGTTCACTCATCTGTAAAAGGAAAAAATAAGGGGGTTACACTAGATGACCTCGGAGGTCCCTTCTATCTTTAGATGTACCATCCTATGGTTTACAACAAAAATAGCACAACTGAGGCAGGTCATTGCACCTTATTTGAGCTTTCTGATTGGTTCCAGAGAGAGACTGAAGGCAGCATGGTGTAGTGGGAAGAACATTGAATTTAGAGTGAGAAGAATTGAATTCAAATCTCAGCTCTGCTCCTTACAGCCAGCTTGACTACAAACATCATTTTGTTCACTTGTAAAATGAGGGCATTGAACTAGATGAATAGTCAATGCAACACTAATACTATCATCCCATGAGCCCCCCCTCCTCACCCAACTTGGTCCAATGAGTATAGGAACCATAACTGGTAAGGCAGTTAGCTGGTGTGGATTTGTACCCTTGCATATAAAACTGATCAGGGTCCCTGTACTTTTAAGTTGGTTTGTAGTCAAATCACAGGTCCACAACAACAACAATAACAATGCCAACAAAGAGCGTTTCAATACAACTGAGGCATTCATAATAACAGATATGGTGATGTCATTCTTTCAGAATGAGGAAATACTGAAAGAATTATTCTGAGTATTTGTAATGTTGAAAAAAAAAGCCCTCCATTTCAGAAGTTATCAAAAGCTGGTGAAGCTAGAAAAGAAAAAAAAATCCCATAAAATTCAGTTTCTATTGAGAAGAGTATATATCACATGTCTCTAAGAGACTAATACAAAAGGCTCAGATGACATAATGCTTGGTGGGAAAAGTGTTAATGATAATGTTTTTGTTTTCAAATTTAATAAAAATTTAAATTATTCAAATGATATCTAATCAAGACAAGGAAGTTCAGAAATGAAAGCCACATATACACCAAAACACATCACAACAGGAATGGGCTTTATTTCAACCAGACAAGTCAACACTTTAATTAGTATCCACTTCTTCACAACCTGAAGATGTAAAAATTAATGACTGCATTCAAAAGACAAAGAGGGAAGCCAACCAATCTCTCTTTTGATTCAGACTGTCTTTCCTAACTTTCTTTAATAAGCCAAAGCAAAAAGATCAGTTCTTTCTGATATTTTGTCCAGGGTCATCAAGACAAAGGCAAAAGGGGACAGAACAAAACTAAAGTCAGTAATCATCAGGACATCTTTTTGAAATAAAAACTATTTTTGACCAAAAAAAAATCACTAAAATAAAAATGTTTGTTTTTAGAAATATGATCTTTCTTAAATATTAAAAGTAAAAACATTTTAAAATTTCTACTCATAAGATCTCGTTACAGTACTCCAGGGCACATGTACAAAAAAGATATATAGTTTGTTGACAGATTATCATCCAGTATCTCATGCCATAATTTTATTTCTTTCTCTGGTGTTCCAATTTGCACCAGAATTTTCATGAGGTCAGAATTCTATTGAAGAACTCCCTTCAAATACCAAACATTATATTAGGATTTAATATCATTTACTTTGTGGGGGTTAGAAAGTTATCTTCATAAAGGGTTCCAGGTTTCATTTAGTACTGAATTGCTGATATAAAATAAGCCAAGAGGCAGCATGACCTAGTGGCTAGAGTGTTGAGCTTGGAATCAGAAAGACCGGGGTTCAAATCCTAACTTAGACACTTACCAGCTGTAACTTCTGTGTGTCTGAGACAACTCCCTAGGACTTACTTAAACTAAGTCATGGATTGGCTGTCATCTGCACCACCAGTGAGAATTCCTACTCTGGATAGAATCCAAGATCTTTGGTGTATTCTCACTTAATACTGCAGATTTGGGGGGAGGGGGGCAAGGCAAAAATGTTCCATCTATTCCTTACTGCCACAGTCTTTTAATATAATATGGAAGAGAAGAAGCCTTAGTCTGGGAATGGGATGACTTGGTTGTCCACATTCTAGACCAATCCTATCTTATCAAAAGTTTATCCTTCCCAGAGCCTAGAAAAGTACTCTGCACCTAGCAGGCATTTAATAATTGTTGTATATACCACTGTATTATAATCCCACTTCTGTCACTAGAATGCAAAACTAGACAATTCATTTTCCTCTCTGGGTCTATGTTTCCTTCCCTGTAAAATGAGGGAGACTAGACTTAGGTCCCTTCTAGTTATGACACTCTATGGTCTAAGGTTCCTTCTAGGCCTCTGACTCTGTGATGTTTGGAGTCTTCACTGCATGGGTACTTCATAAAGCTAAACCAGTGGAGTGGTCAGCTCCTTGGGTAATGTGAATGTATGTTTACAGAAAAAATCATTGTGGAGGAAGAGGACAGAAATTGAGCTTGGGAGATAGCTCTCCTTCCATGGGACATTTACTCACAGACAGAAATATGAGACAAAAAAAAACAAAAACAAAAACAATAAACTCAAAAGGGAAAAAAGCATTCACAGTAAAACATGCTAGCTTTGTAGTTTCATTTGAAACCAACAGCAAATCATGAAACGTCATGAAAAATATAAGTCAAGATAAAAATCTCCTAGAGTGATTACTAAATGAAGTTAAAATTACCACACTGATCAGTAAACCCCAGAAGAAAAACACAGCTAATACATTTCAGGTCCTTCTGAAACATTTTTCAGCTTTTTAAAATGAATGCATAAAACTGGGACATTTGGCCACGTTGCACATTTTGTCCTTTTTAAAAAAAAATACAGTATACAGGAAGAAAAAAAAAACCTCTTGTATTCCCCATGTGAAGTTTGAATTCTATGCTCAAAACCCCAAGAGTAAAAGATCAGCTAGAAGGATTTCAGATTATTTACAAATCCAGCAGGTACGACCCGCCAAAATGGCTTCGATCGTGGCTTTCACTTTCCCCAGCAGCAGCCTCAGCAGGGGCATCTTTCCCATCTTTTGTCCAGGTGACATCATTGTTGATCATCAGTCATCTTAAACAATTCCAGTAGGGCCCCAACAGCGCCAAAGTAGCCCTTCAAAATAAGAGAAAACATGATAAGAAATTATTTAGAAAAATGTTAAAATAGCCAATGACCCGAAAACTTCTTGGAATGTTAAATCCCTAATGTTTGGGGTGGTGATAGTTAAATTCTAATTCCATTCAAACATCATTAAGTGCTTACTGCATGCAATTAATCAATCAAGTCCTTATTAAGTACCTACTATGTTCTGGGAACTGAGGTAGCTACTAGGGAGAAAACAAAAATTAGATGATCCTTGCCTTCAGTGAACTCAGGGGAGACAGCACATATATAAGATACCACATAGATAAGCACATAATAAACAGGCCCTGGAAATAGGCAGATAGGAACAAAAAAATATCGACTAGTCACCTCACCCAAAGAGCTTACAAGTAAACACAAGGTAATTTAACATGTCAACTAGGGGAGATCCAGTAAGGCTTCAAGAAGATGGGGATACTTAGTCTGAGCCTAAAAGGAAGATAAGAGGTAGGGGGGAATGAATTCCAAGTTGTTGAGGTTGGGGAGAAGGGATATATCAGGGGAGAGGAACTGGGAATAGAGAAATATCCTATTTAGTCAATAGGTAAAATATGCGAAGCCGAGTCATAGGAATAAATCTGAGAAAGTCTGTAAGAGCCAGACTATGGGGGGCTTTAAAAGCCAAGCTAATAAATTTGAATACCCCAAAGGCAAGAGGGAGCCACTGTGGGTTTTTGAGTAAGGGACTCTTCAGAGTATGCAGCTCCCTCAACTTCTTTTTCAGGCAGGCCAGGATTTCCTCACACTTTTCTATTTGATCCTCCCCCCACTCAGGCCTTTCTTCTCCCTTTGTTGTTGTGGTTGTTGTTTTAAAAAGCGTATTTCATTCTCCTGGATAACCTGTCAACTTCTTCCAGTGACCCTTTATCTTCTGCTCTTAGTTATTCAGACAATCTGTCTCCTCCTTCCCTTAGAGTCCATCTCTTCCTTCAGCTCTGAAGCAGTGATCAAGGAGCCAGCATGGCCTGGTTCAGGCAGCTGGTGGCATAGTAAACTCAGAAAGACCTGAGTTCAAATCCTGCCTCAAATACTTACTAGCTGTGTGGCCCTGGGCAAATCACTTAAACTCTGTTTGCCTCAGTTTCCTTAATTGTAAAATTGGGATAATAACAGCACCTACCTCCCAGGGTTGTTGGGAGGACAAAATGAGATAATATTTGTAAAGCGCTTAGCACAGTGCCTGACACGTAGTAAGTAAGTATTTAATAAATGCTCATTCCCGGGCAAAAGAGTGTTACATTTTGCCCCAAATAAATTTAAGGTCAAATAGGTACAACATTTCGATAAAAATAAAATAAAACAGAATAAATACTTATTCCCACCCCACTTTCAATGATGTGGGTAAAAGCATAAATGGCATATTTATTAAATTTGCAGATGACACAGCTGCTGGGGATAACCAACACATTAGATGGCAGAATCAGGATTCCTAAAGACCTTAATAGGCAAGGGTGCTAAGCTGAATCTATAGCAATGGAACTTAACATAAAATTTAAAAAGCTTTACATTGGAAATGTAAAGTCTTTTACTTCATTGGCATCTAGTTGGCACTGTGGACAACGTTGGGCTTGGAGCTGTGAAGACCTGAATGTAAATCCTGCCTTAGCCACTTGCTGTGTGATCTTGGGCAAGTCATTTATCTCTTTGGAGCCTCAGTTTCCTTATCAGTAACATTAAGGAGTTGTACTCCATGGCCTTTGAGATCCCTTCCAGCATTAGATTTATGATCCTATGAATTTTTAAAATCAGCTTCATGCATACAAGGTAGGAGGCATGTGCTTTGACAGCAATTAACCTCAAGAAGACCTAGGAGTTTCAGTGGTCCACAAACTCAATGAGTAAATAACGAATGCAATTTTAGGCTGCATCAAGAGAGGCAGTCAGTGGGACTCGGGAAATGATAGTATTTTGCTCCTGATCAGATCACATCCAGAATAATATGTTCAGTTCTTGGTGACACTTTAGAATAGATATAGATAAGCAGGAGTGTGTCCAGACAAGGTCAATGAGGAAGGTGAAGGGCCTTGAGTTCATACCACATGAGAAGTGGTTGGGATGTTTAGCCTGGAGAGAAGAGGCCCCAAAGAGTACATGCCACTGGTCTTCAAATATTTGAAGGCTGTCAAGTGGAAGAGCAATCACACTTGTTCTGAAGGGTCCCAGAAGGCAGGAAAAGTAGTAAGGGAAGGAAGGTACAGAGAGCCATTTTAAGTTTGATGTAATGAGAAACTTCCTAAAAGTCCAGAGCCATCTAAAAATGGAATGGGCTGCCTTGGAAGGTAACAACTTCCCCAACCCTGCATACCTTCAGGTTTCATGACCATTTGGGTTAGTTATGCATATGAGAAACTTGTTTAAATGCCAATGTGACTAGGTGGCCTCTGGAATTTCTTCCAAATCTGAGACTGTGATTCAGTGTGACAAGTCCCAAGGGTCTCATCTATTGGTTGATTATAGTCACAGTCATAGGAGATAGAGCTAGAAGGGAGCCTCATTTGATAACCAAGGCAGAAGTGAAGTAGCTTTTCCATAGCCACAGGGTAGTAGAGCAGTCATCTGAGCCTAGATCCTCTGACTCCAAAGACAAGAAACATCAAAGGTCATGGAAATCCATGGATGAGAAGAGACCTGCTGCCGTCTCTACACCCAGAAAAGGCCTGGAAATTGAGGGAAAGGCCTTGATTCTTCTGGTAACTGAATGAAAGTTCTTCTGCCCAATGGGTACAACTGGACATAAGAAAACAGTGCCTGGTACTCTAAGAAAACACCCTGGTGTTCTACAGAGTAATACATTATACTGAATGTTAGCTAGGGGAAGAGTCCCTTAATGTTTTTTTTTTAATTCCAGGTCTGTCACTAACTTGCCGTGTGACCATAGGCAAGTCACCTCCCAACTCAATCCAATGAGCAGCATGGTAGAGTGGAAAATGTCCTGCATTTAGAGTCAAAAGAGCCTGGGTTCAAATCCTGAGCGTCACCCTAAACAAGTCACTTAACCTTTCTAGTCCTCAGTTTCCTCCTCCCTAAAATGAAGGGGTTGCATTAGGTAACCTTTAAGGTCCCTTCAAACTCTAAATCTGTGATCCTATAAAGACATAAAGAGAAAGCAAACAAAAACAAAATCTGCCCTCAAGGAGTTTACATTCTACTTGGTGGGCTACATCATATAAAAAGATACACATACACACACAAACAGACACAGACAGTGACATGATTTATTTGAGGACAGAAAGAGAGACATAAAAAACTGCAGGGATCAAAAGGGGTTTCCTACAGGAGTCGGCACATGAGCTTCCTTGAAAGAAGCCAGGGTATCTAAGAGGTGGAAGATGCGTGCAAAAATATGTAAGGATGACCTCTGCAAAGAGATGAAGGCAGAAGATGGAATACCAAGTTCAGGGAACAGCAAGTAGGCCAGTTTCTCTGGAACAAAGAGTTTAAGAAGGGGAATGATATGAAATGACCCTGCAAAGGAGGCTAAAGCCAGATAGTGAAGGTCTTTAAATGCCAAGCTAAAGAGTTTCCCTCTCTGTGCCTCAGTTTGCTCATCTGTAAAATGAGGTCACTGGACTGGGTCCTTTACATCACTAAATTCTGAGTGCATGACTTTGGACTGCTACCAAGCAGGAAAAAAAGTACTGCCCTATTTTCAGCATTCATTTTCATCAATGGGTATCACGGATGAATTGTGATTACTACTAGCCAAGGTAATGCCCCTACAGATGAGAACCAGAGAGGTCCTAATGAACTAGATCACAAGCTTTCACGTACTTGAAGAAAATCAAATGTGATTTATCTCTCTTTATTCTTTAAAAAAAAAACTCAAGTAAATCATTCCACACATGATTTGTTGTTGTCGTTCAGTTGTTTTTCCAATCATGTCTGACTCTTTGTGACTCCATTTGGGGTTTTCTTGGCAAAGATACTGGAGTGGTTTTCCATTTCCTTCTCCAGCTCATTTTAAGATGAGGAACTGAGGCAAGCAGGGTTAAGCAACTTGCCCAGGGTCACACAGCTAATAAGCATCTAAGGCTGCATTTGAATTTAGGTCCTCCTGACTTCAGGGCTGGCATTCTATCCACTCTGCCACCTAGCTTCTTCCACACATGACTGAGTTTGCCTTAAAGATAGAGCAAGGGGCCCCACAATAGCTACCCATTATCATATTCATACTAAATAAATTCCAAAGAGAAAAAAAAAGACTTCAATTACTCTTGAGCTGAATGCCAAGTATAACCCAGCATCTTCCTCTGCCTTCCAGATTGTTGGACTAAGGAGACAAATTCATCAATTGATAAAGAAAACAAACAGTTCTGTAAAGTATTCTTTATTTAGAGAGGGAGTACATTGTGGTAGAGACAGACAGACAGAAAGACAGACAAACGGAGGGGGATGACAAGAGGAAAGTCTATAACCTAACTCTGATGATTCCCAAGTGTATGTAACCATAGGTAAATCATTTAATTTCTCTGATACCAGGTTTCCTCATGATCACAGTTAAGCCACGGACTCTCCATAAGGCTGCTGAAACGAAATCACTTTTTAAATTACAAAATCTCACACGTGTGAGAGGAAGCTGTGGGCTAGTGGAGATCTGGCCTGACAGCCAAGAAGATCCAGTTATGTGATCATGGCCAAGTTACTTACCCCCTTGGAGCCTAAAACAGATGAAAATATAATTGGGAAATATTTAACAAAACTGATGCAAATACAGTAGAACAGAGATAATCTTAATATGTGGTATTCTAAGTCAATATGCAGCCAGCAGGGATCCTTGTGTATGGTACAGTGGCCTCCATTTCTATCTGAATTTGACACCACTGCTCTAGATAACTCCTTAAGACTGCAGACTACAGGTTGCAGAAAGGGTGATGATCTGTATTGGGAGACAGGGCTTCCTCATGTGAAAATTCCCTATATCAATTAAATCATGAATCCAATTTCTATCCCTTCATCCCTATATAAATGTGGGTGTTTATTTTAGGCAAATGATTCCATACATGTCATACCTACCTCATGTTCCAAGAACAGAGCTTTTAGCTGTCCTTTGGACCAAAAATCCATGGCATATGCTAGCAGCTTCATAGAGACCATATTGATTCTAAGGAAATTCCCAACAAACACCACTCTGTCAATGTTCTGCCAGGGGAAAAAAATTGTTTTTGTATTTTACGTTAGAGCTATAGAAACAATAAGGAGAACACATTTATTCTGCAATTTTTCTTTTAAATGTCAGTTTCTCAGCATTCTTTGGCTTACGCTAAGAGTAGCACAGGGGTACTGGAAGGTACATGGGCAGAACAGAAGTCATTATCTGCCCCAGCTCTGAGAGACTCATTTTTGTGGCAGTCTGAAGATGGAGGCAACTTGGAATCTAGGTGCCCCCTGACAGTCTGACTGCAGCTCCCAGCACTACTCGCTCCTGCCCACGCATCAGAAGACTGCAGTCGACTCCTGATCATGTGTCTTTGCTCAAACCGTTCCTCATGCTTAGGAGAGAGTCCCCTTCCCCCCCCTTGCTGACGCACCATCGAGAATGACCGATAACAAGCGGCATTTCTTCAGCCCCGTCACCTTCACAGAGCGCTTTATACACATTAATTCAATCTTCAAAACAATCTTGTAAAGTAGGCATGAAGGTATTCTTGCTCCCATTTTACAGATGAGGAAACTGAGACTCAAAGAGGTGAACAGGCTTGCCCACCATCACCCAGGTAATGTCCAAGGCAGGTCTCTTCCTAATTCTAAGACCAGCATTCTAGCCACTACCTTATATAAAGACTCTCAGAAGCCCCTCCCTTCTATACAGGTTATCCCCAGGTCCCCCAGATGAAAAGGATGTCTCCCTCCTTAAATTTCAGGTAACAATTTACCTGACTCACCTTTGCCCCCCAAACATGTTTTACCTTTGTAATATACTCATGTGTAGCCTTGTTATATCTCCATTATTAGACGTAGGCTCCTTAACAGCAGAGACGGGGCCATTTTCCTGTCTTTCAATCCCTAGTGAGAATGCCTTGTATACAGTTGGTAATTAATGCTTGTTTGTTTGTTTGTTGAATCTGAATTGTTCTGTATTCCCTGAGCACACAGTAACCAATAGTGTGTGAAGGGAGTCCCAAAGCACAAAGGGGTAGCAGCAACAAGCCAGCTTAGGGTTTCTAGACATGTCTATGGGTAATTAAAAAATGGGCACAAATGAACGATAATTGGTACCACTTTCACAGCCCAAATGTTGCTGGGGACCCAAGACCTGCATGTCGGCCATACCTCTGACTTATAGAAGACTTCCAAGGGGATAGTAAGGAGAAAAGCAAATCAGGTTCTCAAGGTAAACCTTACCTGCATAGCAGCACTCTGAATTGGAAGGTTGGGGTGAGGGAAGGAGTTACTGGTTTAACTTGAAAATGACACTTGCCAAAATAAGCTCTAGTTTCATTTCATCCCAAGCCTCTAGAAATGCAATGAAGGGGCCCAAGCATGGCTGTCAAACCAAGAGATAATTAAAAAAACCACCAGTTCAACTCAGATGGTTCAAGGCTATTATACTACTTAGCAGTTCTATCTAGAAATAACTGGGAACAAAAGGGGAAAACTCATGCTTCTACCACCCAATGTTTTAAATCCTGAGAAGACAGCATGGTGTGCTGAAAGGTGTGCTAGAAGCGGCATCAAAGGCCTTGGGTTCAAATCCCAGTTGTACTACTTAACTACCTACATGACAGGCAAGTCAATTAAACACCCTAGACATCAGAACTTTCTCTTTAACATAAAGGTCAGATTAACTGGCCTCTAAGGTCTCTTTCTATAGGATCAAACTATGATCCTATAGCTAGACCAGCAATTTAAAATCTGACATCCTTGGGGAATAAACTTCCACTTGAAATAATAACTATAATTTATGCAGGACATTCCCAAAGACTTAATGTAGTTTGGGCTTTAATTGGTTTAAATTGCACTAAGACTTCTGTAACAGCCTGGATGGTGTTGTTTTACAAGCATGACCTCTATGTGGTAGAATGGGAAAGCCATGTGTTCTGTAGTCAAATAACCTAGATTCAGATCCTCTAATGCTTACTACCCATAGGACCTTGGTCAAGTCCATTCCCCGCCCCCCCACCCCAGCTCTCAGGTTCCTTGTCTGTCAAATGAATAGGTTGGACTAAGATGGTCTTTGAACGATGACCCTATATTTCTCACAACCTATACAATAAATACTACAGGTATTTTTATCCCCATTTTACAGATGAGGAAACTAAGGCTCAGAAGTTAAATGAATTGTCCAAGGTCGCACAGCTAGTAAGCTTCAGAGGTAGGATTTAAAGCCAGGTTTCCTTGTCTTCAAGTCCATCCCCCAGCTATTATTCTACCCTACAGGTTCCCTATTCACATTTGTATTACTATGCTATCCCTACTTGTATTACTATGCTATACATGTAGACTAACTCCAAGTCCCACACACTTGGAAATAGAAACAAGCTAACTGCTTTTCCCATTCCCCAGACCTCCCAGGTTGCTTGGAGTCCAGCTCAGCCATCACCAACCAACCTGAGCTACTGACAGATCTTGCCCTCCAAAGAATGGCTCTGTTGCTATGGAAACATTTCAGAGAAGGGGAGACTAGCCTTGGAAAACAGCATTGCTTTCCCTGTCCAATATGTCAAGAGTGAGTAGAACCCAGTGGGAACCTCCATTTCCAAAGGCTTCAACTTTTAACCACATAAAACCCTGAGGATCTAATTTATATGGGCAATCCTATTCTGACCCTGGATTTCAAAGAGTCTTGCTTCTTAGAATAGAGCAGCAACCACCATGACCCATGGGATTTTGAAAGAGAAAGGCCATGTGGGAACAGGCAAACTGCCTTCAACAGAGAAGGAGGTGGCAGTGAATATTAAAAAGGAAGAGGAGGCCTGGAAAGAGACCAATTAAGTTTACAGGAGGGCTTTTCCCTCTCCCTCCTTCCCAACACAATGTTGCCAGAGAATGAAGCTTCTCCTTGCACTGAGGAAAAGTATCAATCTCAATAGCCTTGGGACAGGAGTGGTGGAGAGCCCAGGACAAGAGGACATTAAAAGGCATTAAATGAAGTAATCTGACTGTCATGGAAGCCAGACCTCTAAAGGGATAGAACCTCTCAGTAACAATGTAAAATCAAAGATTGAAAGGATAAGCAAAAAACAAAAACAAAACAAAAACAAAACCAAACCCAAACAACCTTCCATCTAAACAACTTTCCCTCTCTAGAAAAGTGTCTCGGGAACTTATCCAATGGGGCTCACAGGAAAATCCTACTCTCTGAAACACTTGGGGGTAGGGTGGGGAGAGAACACTCCCACAAGCTGGCAAATACACAAGGTCGTGGAATCCAACCTGCAATATTTTAATAGTCTTTTTCTTCTACTACTGCCAGAGATACCCTCAGCCCTGAGGCAGTAAAACCAATTATATAAGTCTTACAGTTCTTCCCATGGCTATAGTATCATTTAAGACATGTTTAGTATGGTTAAACCTCTGATGGGCATCCCACTGCAGTGCAGCCATAGCAAGGAAATGGAAATCAAAAGAGAAAACACCTTGGGATACCAACCCAACCAAAATGCCAACCAAACCCTCGGGCCATAAATAGCAAGGAACACTTTAATAAGTTAGCAATAAGAGGAAAGGGAAGGCAATCAATGCTCTGGGGAGAGGGGGCAGGTGTTATCTGTCGACTGACCTTTGGGAGATCATGAAAGTGGTCCACTCCAAACATATTAGTCTAAGGACATATTTGGCAGCTGGGGGTGAGGGGTGGAGAGGATCCTTTGGAAGATAATGTTTAAAAACAAACAAAAAAAAACCTAACCAAAGCCTTCTAGCACAGGGTGTTCTGAAGGCAGGAGAGGACAGACTTTGAAAAGGCGCATCTCTGGAATGTGTTCATTTATTTTCTGTTAAAACAGCTCCAAGGTTAAAGACTAGGTTTCAACCTGATTTTCAAATTCATATTTGCATACATATTATCAAGGCTCACAAATACACTTTCCTATGTGAAATAAAATACAATGGAAGGCCATTGGAATCCTAGAATTTGTAGATGGGACTAATGCCTTCATGTGTTGATCTCATACTAGACCTCAGCTGTATTGCAGGCATGTTTTGGGGTGATGTGACTTGCATAATATGGTGTTAGTTCTGCAAAGGCTTTCAAGAGGTCATCTGGTCCAACCCCTCTGTTTTACAGATGAGGAAACTGAAGTACAAAACAGTTAAGTGACTTGCTTGAAGTTGAACCAGCCAGGATCTGAATCCAGGTTTCCTAAATTCAATGTGGTTTGTCCCCTGTCCCTTCTTGCCTTTCTAATAATAAGCCAAGTTGCGATCAGTTTCGACAGCAATTGTATGCTTTGCTGAGCAGCTAACTTCACTCCCTCTATTATCTCTCCTGCTCAAGGATTAGAGATCATAGAAGCTCAGAGCTTGGAAGAACCTTAGAAAATCATATACTCCAACTCTCCCTCTCCCCTCCTCCCCTTTCCAAGCCTTCTTCTCCCTCATCAAGTAAGTCAGACACTTTGCATTTCAGAAAGCAATGATTTGTCAAAAGGTCATCTTTGCAAAAGTTCAAATGAGGCATCACAGCAACTTTCCAATTTCCTGTAACTGGGGGAGGGAGGGGGTGGGAAGGGGGTCCTGCTGGCCTCCGCTGTAGCTCTCTGTGCTTTGATAGCCCTGTACAATGCTGCTTGAACTCCACGCCACAAGGCAACACTGTAGAGAAGCCGAAAGCAGAAAGAAGAAAGGGTGAAGAGGAAGCAAGGATTCCCATTGAGTTTCTGGCAGTGAAACTGGGCTGGATTGCTTTAGCATCTCATTCTACCAATAACTCTTTGCATGCAGATACAAGGAAACAAACAAAAGAAAATGTGCAGAGAAGTCCATGTCCCATTTCATTAGGCATGTGATGAAGGATGATGGTTTATTGCGGGTTTAGCACAGATTTGAAATTTACAATGCTGCCATTTCCAAATGAACTGACTTGGCATTGGGGACCATACAGAGCCAAAGAGGGCTGTGGTGTAGTGCAAAGAGCACAGGCTTTGGACTCGGGAGAACTGGGTTCGAGCCTTATCTCTGCCACTTCTTGGCTATGAAGCCTTGATTAAGTCAATGAAGTTTTTTGAGCCTTCTTAGGATTTCCTATTGGTAAGAATGATACTTCCACTTACACAACTCAAGGGTCTTTAAAGGATCAGGTGAGGCTGTGTATATCCAGTACTTTGTAATCCATAATGTACTCTAAAGATGGATACTATCTTTATTACTACTATTGCTAAAAGACCCTATAACCACCAACTGCTAAAACTGGAAGTGGCCTGAGAAGAAGACAGACTTGTTTCATAGGGTCATGGATTTAGAAGGAACCTCAGAAGCCTGAGGCCTAGGTAGGTTAAGTGATTTGCCCAAGGTCACCCAGGGAGAAGCCACTTAGATAGTTGTCAGAGGTGGATTTTGAACCCAGGAGCTCTGACTCCAAAGCCAATAATGCTGTTTTCCACTATACCACACTGCTTCCTACAATCATGTAGTCCAAACACACTTAAAAATGAGATGACTGAGGCCCATGGAAATGAAGTGACTTCTCCCAAGTCAGACAGCCAGGGAGGGTCAGAGGCAGGACTCTCCACCCTCCTATCCTAGATTAATTGAAAATGTTTTTTTTCTTTTTCCTCCTTAAAGAATACTGGTCTTCTCCTATTACAACACCTGGTCTCCTTTAGGAGTCCACATTTTATGAGATGCGTACACACTGAAAAAGGTGGGAATTTTACTGAAACATTAACAAAAGATCAAAAAAGCTATTGAACAGAAAAGGCCAAAATGCAAGAAGAAATGAGCATGCATTGGATAGACAGATGGTGAGTTTATAACCTTACCTCGTTCTGGGCACACATCCGAGCAATGGAACCAATGTTATTTGTAATGGTGACCAAAGTTGCTCTGGCTAGGTCCTCTTTGCTGATGGCATCTCGTTTTTCTTTACTCATCATGTTGCCAAAGCTATGTTGGAAATATTAGCAAAGAGGTTCAAATCATCCCGCAAGAAGGACCACATTTTAGCCACATAACTGTGGCAAAACTCTTCCATAACTTTTGTCTGGACAACTTTGCCCTGTGGTTTACAAGCCCTAATTTTGCTACAGTGGTTTGTACTCAGAAAATATTTTGATAGCAATGGTTGGTTTCATTTTTCTTTTCTCTTTTCTTTTTGAGACGGACCACTGATGAGGAAGGGGTTGGTGTTGGTGGTGGTGGTGGTGGTGGTGGTGGTGGTAAAAATGCCCCCAGCTAAGTACTTAACAAGGGGAAATGGTGGTAATTGTAAAAACCTTCCAAAGTCGCCCTATTTAGAAGACATGCTTCAATAGCATGAATGTTTCTGTGCTTGCTAAGATGTCAAAATCAGGTCTGAGCTCTTCTACAATATGTACTATGCTAATCTATGTCAGCAGGGGCACGGCCACATCAGAAAACATTCAGGGCACTGGAAGCCATGTTTTCCATTGTTACTGTACCTGCCTAGGACAAGAGTACCATAGGCTTTGGAGCTGGAAGGGGCCTTAGAGATCATCTAGTCCAACCCTCTCATTTTGCAGATGAGGAAACTGAGGCCCAAAGAGCTTAGGTGACTTGCCCAAGGTCACAAAGTAGCAGAGTTGGGATTCAAACCCAAGACCTCTGACTCCAAATCCAGTGCACTCTTTCCACTACACCACTCTCTACTTAGTCTCTACCTTGATGCTACAGCAGATCCTTGAAGGCCAAATCGTTCATAGTCTCCTCCATAAATATCCTTCACCAGCTTATCAACATTGGTGCTGTCTCCTTTAGCTGCCATTTCCAGAGCTTCTTCAAAGGTCTCACAACCAGTCAGCAAACAGCACAGGCCTAGGAATGTTCCACCTCCAAGACTAAAGGAACAATAAGGTTTATTTTTTTTAAGACTTGCTTTAAAAAGTGCCCACCGAGGTACCCAAAGAGGTACATTCAGAACATTAGCACAGCAATGAGGCAGGAGGAGAAAAACAATAGAAGGTTCACATCAATGGACTAGGGCTCAGAGCAGCTCAGGGTTAAGGCTGGACCAGGAAGTAGGAGCAGAGTTGGCTGGGATTAAAAACAAACTCTTTAGGAAAATGTCAAGCCCTTGGCCTTGGGATGAAAGCCATACCAACCAGAATGTTTCCATGAGTTACAGTTGTGAGACCTTGGGCTAGTCCATTAACTAGACAGCCTCAGATGCTGAACATGTTATAGGAGGCTGAAGGTAACTTTGCTCTCTGGACAGTTTGTATGTGGGAAATATAATATATAGCCATATATATAATAATAAAGCCATATAATAAACATAAAAAGTATGTGTAGTTGATACGCAGCTAGAAATAGATTTTGCATGCAGTAAATATGGAAATCATAAATGGAGTCTTCAACTCTCCAACAAAAATACTGACTTTGGTTTCTCCTTCCTGGAGAATTCTTCCTTCTTTCCTCCTCTCAGGGAGACAATCCCATTTACCTATGTGTATTTCTTAACTGAGATATCTGAAAGGAAGCAGCTCATCTGAGATCCTGGCCAATAGCGTCTGAGAAAAGATGATTAACATTCTGCAATCCCTCAACAGCATAAAATGGCAAGGATGTTTGACTTCTTATTTGAGCTGGACATATCCTCTGACCCTTCGGACAAATGTCTTTGATACACGGAGAGAGAGAAACCACCTGAATGTCTCCATTTAAAATTTGTTTTTGTCTTGCCATCTGTTTAAGTACATTTAAATTGTCCTGGAAAAGAGGTAATGGCTCCTTTAAAAAACATTTGGGAGCAAAAGGAAAAGAAGCTAGAAGTCTGATACTAAGGAAGTCAGCTGCATGGAAATTACCTGAGAGAAGAGGAGTCAGGTTAAGTTAAGAATAAAGACAACAGCTAGAGAAGCCCCCGGCAGGGCCAAGGTCATCACATGGTGCAGACGTCTGCACAGTGTCATGATTCCTTTTGCTTAAAAGAAAGAAAACAGAATGCAGAAGCAGTGAGGTTGGATCTTGAAAGGGCAAAAACAATCCTTTGTGGGGAGGAATTTGAAGTGGATAGTCAAAGGTCAATACAAATAGTAGAGCTTTATAAGGGCTTCTTACACCAAGAAACCCCAAAGTGCTGAAAACAGGAGCAATGCATATGGCACAATGAGCTTTAAAGATTAACAAAAGATGTTGTTTTCCACATTGGACCGGGAGGAAGAAACAGAGGCAGATTAAATACTGATCCCTAGTAGCAAAAAGTCGATGAGAAGGAAACCATATTATACCTATTATACCATTTGCATTTATTTAAATCCGTCTTTAAATATTAGGTAACGTTTAAGTACCAACAGTTTATATTTTAATAAGAAGGGTTTTTTCAAATCCTATTGGGCAGGAATCACATAATCTGTATTCTTCAGTTGCCCACTGTCTATGAAAAGACTGGCCATTTGGACTCCAAGGCCATAAACTAGGCATCACCCTTCAGCTAGTGGTAGCAATCTAAACTATGGGTACAACAGTAGAGAAATACCATCATATACATCTATTTGTAAACCTAAAGCTATACAGTGACAACAAATATAATAATGGCATTTATAAGATAGCACAGTCTTGGTAAACTGACTGTCTTAGAATGAAGGCCATTCATTATTAGATAACATGCATGGCTGAAGAGGTAAGTGATTTCAAACAGAGAAACATAAATTGAACAGGGGGGAAATCACACATTCACAAAGCTGGAAAATGGGGGATACAGAAAAACAATGCATGAACACACTAGAAACAAAAGGTTCCTTGCTTATGCAGGAAATGGAGGGTACTATATGCAAATAATAACACTTTCTCTCAAGATCTGATTAACTGGGCACATATTTAGGATGTGACTAAAAGTGTATTAGTTTCTCAGTAAATTGTCAGAGTCAAAACATCTCACTGAAAATTCTCATGGCAGATGGCAAGCCCTCTAGGCCTTAGCTGGTGGTCTTTTGTGAGGTGGGCTCTACCTAAAAATATTCAGCCCCTGGTAGTCAACTTTCTGGTAGTAGATTCCTCTGGAACTTAGATAAGCTATTCTTCATAAAGCTAGACACATGCCCATCCCCAAGGGCCTACACTATTCGTTACTAAAATTTTATGGTGCTAGGTGTTTTTTTAAAAAAAGGAAGTCTTTATTTAAGAGGGACCCTTAAGAAACTCAAGCTCACAAGGGAAAGAGAAGGAATTCTCCGTCTCTTGCCTTGATTTTTTGTGCTCCTTCCACCTCTTAGGACTCCTAGCTCCATTCAAAGCCCCAACTCAAGTGCTGTCTTGACACAGGTCTCTCTTGATCTCCACAGTAAAATTGTCTTCCTCTTCCCGCCTCTGATACACCCCTACCCCCAAATTATTTTGCATTTACTCGGTGCCTTTTTTATGTTTACTCATCAGTATACATATTATTTCCACCTAGCAGGATGCAAGCTCCTCAAGAGCAGGAATTGATTTCATGTTTGTTTCTTTGAACCTCCCATACCTACCACAGTATGTGACCACATGTGACAAATGCTGGTGGAAATGAATTGATTCCAAAAAAAAAAAACCCACCAGTATTACCCCTGTCCAGGATTCTAAACTTTCTTCAAAAAAATATTTTCTCTCTCTTAAAAAGAGTTCCTCAAAAAGGTAAGCCCCTCATTTAAGACTAGATGCATTCCGACAAAGTTTACTTGTGAAGTTAATTTATCTAAGTGAATCCTGTTTTTCAATTGACTTCCATGATTAACTTAGAGACATTTTGCCAGAAAAATTCTTGGTCCCCATTTTAAAAAATCCCATTTAAGCAAATGCAAACCTTTAAAAAAAATTTTCAAGGGAAATGAGAACTTCCTATAGTATTGTTTGTCTACTCAAAGAAAATAAAAAACACACCCATCACAATACAGTGTAGTATAAAGCAGCACAAATTGTGGCAATACAAGCATCATTCTCACTGTCTTTTAAAGGAATCAACAGGCCCCGAAGAATCCAGAGATTGACTAAGTTTTTAGACAAGTATGTCGAGAGGTAAGATGCATAGGGATGGAAAGGGATAGAAGGAAGAACAGGAAATAATTTTCAAGTTCCCTAATTTGAATTTGCAATTCACTTTTAACTTGGGGACCCCCTCCAATATCTCTATTAGTGATCCCTCAGAGAAGATTTCTCTTTTCTCAGTCACTGCACCTTTAACAGAAAAACCAAGTTTTGAAACAATTTAATATGCTCACAAACTTTTCATTAAACTGCAAAGTTCAAAGTTAAACTGCAAAGCTCCTCCCAACAGTTCTAAAGAGTTATGGCGTGAAGACTGACATCATACATTGCAGCAAGTCTCAGAGTACATTCTAAGCAGACCCTTCTACCCACTGAACAGGACCTGAGTCCTCTTGTGCTAATACCTTAGCAAAGACTGATACACCCTAGTCCTAGAATAGTTTCTCTAATCACCCCACTCTCCCCCACCTACCCCCCAATCAAAACACACATACTTAATTTGCACCAACTCAAATGCCACCTCTCTGCGAAGTCACCCCCAATATCATCATGAATGACCCTCTCCCTCAGAGTTCTCATAGTAATTTAGCTTTTAGCTAATGTAGTTATTTTATAATCCTATTTACTAATGAAATCTGTATGGGATATTTTGTTTCTACAGTAGACTATAAGCTCTATGAAGACAAGATTTATCTAAATTTTCTCTATTCCTTGGCTCCTAACAGTACACTGAAATAGTTGGTAGGTAATTAATGTTGCTTGGATTAAATAGAACAATGTTATGTAAAAATCAATGCATCAGGAATCCAGCCTGAATATTACTGATTCTAATATTACTCATACTGTAAACAGAATCAGAATTTAGAGCTAGAAGAAATCTTAAAGAGATCAGATAGTCTGATCGCTCATTTTACAGATGAGGAAGCTGAGGACCAGAGAGAGACAGGAAATAACTTGCCCAAGATCATATCTGTACTAAGTAGCAGTGTGAGGTCCTCCGACTTCTTTAAAACCCTAGGGAAGGAAGATTGTTATACTGCAGCAGAAGGTTCTCCTTAAGGAAGATCTATTTACCTGGTCCCTGTAACTCTTTTATAGTTGTCCTTGGAATATACTGCTAGGATGCTAACACCTGAGCCCATGTTAACCAGCAACATGGGGTATGGATTATCAAGGCAGTAAGGCTTTTTTTGACACTGTTCAGGATCTGTGGGTTTTTCAAAATAGTAACACTCGGGTTTGCCATTGAAGCCGATGGAATCAACATAGAGCAGCCCTTGTATCAAACAGTCCAATTCATCCAGCTTGTGGAGCTGCAGATCGGCGATCTGAAAGAGAACAAGAAATCAAGGAGAAAGGGATGGTTAGGGCATAAAAGCAGACCCAAGAGGCTCAAAGGTGGCCCTTAGATCTATCAGCAGAGCTGACCAGGATTAAAGGAGTGCAGCTACCATTCTATAACAGGCACTTCCAAGGACATTTAGAGGAAAGGAAAAAAAGGATCTAGAAAGGCAGAAGTTGAAAGAAGGCAGATTTTTTTTAGTTCAATGTGAGAAAAGATTCTCTTAACTCTAGTTCTCTAATAACAGATGTAGCTGAATGATACAGAATAGTCCGTTGGGGAGTGGGGGTTAACTCCCTTTTCTTCTCTCAAGTTCATGATCATTGCAGATAATAATGATAATCACAATGGCACATTTAAATGTAGCACTTTGCAATTCACACAACACTTTCTTCACAATGAGCCCTTAAGGAGGGCAGTGGCAGGCCAGCAGGGGTTTGCCCTGGGCCCTGAGCCGAGTCAGTGGGTCCTAAGCAAGGGCCAGATCATGCTGGGCTAGGAATGCTGCTGACTGTGGAAGGCTTGCATTTTGTGAGAAGGGGGACCTCTGACTGTGAGTTTGCACTTATCCACAGACAAGCACATTTTTATATATATACACGAAACTATTCATTAGCATGTGGCAAAAAGAGGGCTCTTCTGGGGGGAAGTCAGAACAGAGTGACAAAGCAGCAACACAAAACTCTACATGTATTGCTCAGCCTCAGAAACAAACACAAAATTAGTATTTTTATTATTAACGATTCCTACTCACATGTGGATAGAGCTTGGGATCATTTAGAGCTTTGTGGATTTAGAGCTAGAAGGGATCTTAGAAATTATCTTGTCTAACTTCCTCCTTTTAAACATGAAGAAATTGAATCCTGGAGAGGTTTAAAGTGACTGCCCCAGGTTTAAAGTAGAGTCAGGATTTGAACACAGATCCTTTGATCCCACATCCTGGAATCTTTCCACTGTACCTCACTGCCACTTTTCTCATAATAACCCTGAGACATAGGTAGTATATATGTCATTATCCCCATTTTGTAGATGAAGAAATTGAGGCTTGGAGACACTGAGAAATTTGCTTAAATTGTACAACTAGTTAAGGCTAGAGGAAGGATTTGAATCCAGTACTCCTGATCCTAAATCCAAGGTTCTTTCCAGTAGACCATACTGCCTTTCATGGGAAATCTGATGCATTTTGGAAGTGGAGGCATTGGAGGTTTGGATATTAGGCCTACATACTGAAGGCACAACCTACTATTAAATTTAGTGGTGCTGAGCTAGAAAACTGTTTCTCTCTTACCTTGGAGGAAGCCCTGATATCTGAGGTTTAGAAAGGAAGTAAGAGAGAAAGAAACATGAGAAAATATTCATAGCAGCCTCCAAAGTCAGATCAAATATGATTAAATTCATATTTTTAGACTATCATGTAACATTCAAAAAGAGTTTATTTATCTATATTATGTTACTCTTACCATAAACACAAGCTCATAGATTTATTAGAAGGGACCTCAGAGGTTCTTGAGTCCAACATCTCCTCATTTTACCAATGAGGAAATTTAGTTACAAAGAGGTTAAGTAACTTCTGGTCTCATACAGCTACTAAGTATCTGGGGCAGGATTTGAATCCAGGTATTTCTGTCTCCTAAGTTCATCATATTTCCAAAACGTAGGCTTAGTACCCTCCATAACATCAAGCAGTACTCATTTCAGACAAAAAGCTGAAGGGGAAAAACTGCAGACCTCTTGGTCCCACCAAAAATCCCCCCCAACAAGACATAAATACAGCTCTGTACAAAAGCAGGGAGATAAGTGGAAAGAACACAGGAGTCACTGGAGACAGATGACCTGAGTTGTCCAGTTTCACTCCTTTCTAGCTCTGTCACACAAATCAAGTTCTGTTACCCCTGTGGACTCAGTGAAGTGTGAGTGTTGGCCTAGATGAACTCTAAGGACCCATGGAATGAGTGCAAAATTTTTATGAATTCTACGATTCTGTGAAAATACTTCCTTAGGGGACAACTAGGTGGTGCAGTGGATAGAGCACTGGCCCTGGAGTCAGGAGGAACTGAGTTCAAATCTGACCTCAAGACACTTGACACTTACTAGTTGTGTGACCTTGGGCAAGTCACTTAACTCCATTGCCTACCAAAAAGAAAAAAAATTACTCCCTTTGCAAACACAGCCTATTGTTTCAAGAAGGCCTCCAGTAAGATCATGCAAAGAGCCAACTCAAAACCCCTGACCTGTTGCTCCCTACCTGTGGAGAGAGGAAAGGCCTTCAGAGACCTTGTAAGGTCTTTGACAAGGAAGATCAGGGAAAATGCTCCCCTGAAGGAATTTGTTTTGTTTTGTTTTGTTTTACCCAGTCAAAAACCAGCTATTACCTCAGATACATGAAATGCTAGACCTTGAAGGGCACTTAAGACATCATCTACTCAAGTCACCTGATAGATAAAGGACAGTTCACAATGATGAGAAAAATGGCCCACAATCATAAAGCTAGTAGGCAGCAGGGATAGGACCCAAACTCGGGTCCCCAAATCCCCAAACTCCAAATCCATTGTTCTTCCCCTTACACATACTTAACTGTAAGTGTGACCTTAAACTAGTCATAAGCTCACCAAGCCATAATTTGTTCATCAGAATAATAATACCTGATACTATTACTACCTCTCAAGGTTTTTGTGAAAATCAAGTGAGATCATGAGAAATCAATACAGGACTCACACATGCAAACAAGTAACAGACAGAGCTCATCTTTATGGAGAATACATATGGAGAGTGGGGGAACCAGGCCAAGGAGGATGATGAACAAAAGGGTACAAAGGCCAGTATGTAAAGGACTCAAGTGGTAAAGAGTTAGCACTTTTAGAAACTCATCTTGTCCATGATCTAACTGAATGGACAGCAGTTTCATCAACCTTTCCTGGTATCATAGGTTAACCTGCTTAAAAATTAATCTGGGATAATAAATAATACTCAAGGCTATACCCAGACAAGCACTGTCAACAAAAGATAGGCCACGAGGCTGACAGGTGAATGTCCTGAACACAAACTGGAAAATAAAAGCCAAAGCATAGAAATTTAAAACAACAATACACAGTGTATGTGAGTATACACACACACATACACACACACACACACACACACACACACACACACACACACACTGATTCTAAAGGAATGGGCATCTCATCACTTTCTCCCAAACTGTTCTAAAAATAAATCACAGAATCTGAGTTCAAAAGGACTTCGATTCATATGTAAGCAAAAATCCCCTCTGTAGTAAGATCTCCAACAAGAAATCACCCAGACCGCATTTGATTCTTCCTCCTAGAGGCAGCCTGTTCCATTTTTGGAGAGTTCAAATTCTGGGAAGCTTTTTTCTTACATTAAACCTAAACCTGCTTCTCAGAAACGGCTATCTATTGTTCCAGGTCTGCCCTCTGGGGCCAAAGCAGGACAGGTCTCTTCCCTCTTTCAAGGGACAACCTGAAGTGTTCTGCTTTCCTAGGTAAATGTCTCCAGTTCCTTCCACCAATCATTGGATGGCACAGTCTTGAGGACCTTCACCGTCTTGGTTAACCTACTCTGTACACGTTCCAGCTTGTCAATGTCCTTCTTAAAATTTGATGCCTACTGGGTAAATCCAGAACTTCAGATTTGGCCAGGGCAGGGCAAAGTGATACCACCTAGACATAACTGACTAGCCTAAGACCACATTAGCTTTTGTTGATAGCTATATTACATTACAGACCCACACAGATTCAAGAACAATAAATGCTCCAACGGCTTCTTTTCCTCCCAGACAAACTGCTCTCTATCCATATCTCACCCCTCCTTATACATGTGAAGATGATTGTTTTTTACCCAAAATGTAGAAATTTCTATTTATCTCAGTTAAATTTCATCTTGTTAAATTTGTTGCCATGTTTTAGTCTATCAAGATCTTTCTCAATCCCAACTTTTTATCCAAAGTGTGAGCTGCCCCTTCCAGCTTTGGATCATTGACTGAAGGATTCATTCATTCATTCATTCATTCAACAAGCATTTATCCAACACATAACTACAGTGAAAGATAAAACATGCCACCTTTGACCCAGCAATAGCACTTCTAGGGCTGTATCCCAAAGAGATCATAAAAACAGGAAAAGGTCTCACACGTACAAAAATATTTATAGTAGCTCTTTCTGTGATGGCAAAGAATTGGAAATTGAGGGGATGCCCATCAATTGGAGAATGGCTGAGCAAGTTGTAGTATATAAATGTAATGTAATACTATTGTGCTATAAGAAATAATGAGCAGGCAGATTTCGGAAAAGCCTGGAAAGACTCGTATGGACTGATGCTGAGTGAAGTGAGCAGAACCAGGAGAACGTTGTACACAGTAATAGCCACGTTGTGTGATGACTAACTTTGACAGACTTAGCTTTTTTCAGCAATGCAAGGATCTAACACATCTCCAAAAGCCTCATGATGAAAAATGCTACCCACATCCAGAGAAAGAAGCAGATTAAAGCATACTATTTGCTCTTTTTTTTCTTCTTGTTTTGTTTTGTTTCTTCTTTCTTGTGGTTCCTCCTATTGGTTCAAATTTTTCTTTACAACATGACTAATGTGAAAATATGTTTAATAGGCATGTATATGTAGAGCCTATATCAGATTGCAGGCCATTTTGGGGAGGAGGCAGAGAGGGAGGGGAAGACAATTTAAAACTCAACATCTTATGGAAGTGATTATTGAAAACTAAAAATAAATTAATTAATTTTAAAATTGGATATAAAAAAAGACAAAACATGCTATATCTGCCTTCATCCAAAGTCATTGATCAAAATGCTGAACAGCAAAGAGCCAAGAACAGATCTGTGCAGCAAGGTGCTAGAAATCTTTCTCTATGGTAACAAGTCTCTAATGAAAATTCTCTATATCCAGTCATTCAACCAGTTCTGAGGGTACCTTTGCTAAGTCCACATCTCTCCATCTCAGCTCCAACTGGCA